ATGACTAATATGAAATTTACCTTATTTACATAACTCCCCACGAAACATTTTTAGCGCATTTCCACAAAAATTAAAAAAAAAGCGCTATTGTGGCCACTTTGTCCGTCCGTCCGTCCGTCCGTCCGTCCGCTCGTTTTGCGACGCTACTAGTTCTTTATCTTAAGAGCTATTGTTCTACTTTTTTTCGCTATTTGGTTCGTTATGGTGTCGAGTCTTGTACCAAGGAAGGAATTTTTTCTGTACCGCTTACAAAAAAAGTTATTGTAAAAAAAAACAAAAACCCGTTTTTTACATTTTCCATAATTTTACACTTTTGCCGTTTATTAACGATCCTAGAGATCGTTTATAATTTTGCATTGCTATCTGTCGCCTGCCGGTTGGTCTGTCCGTCTGTTCCTTTGTCCGTCTGTCCATCTATCTGTCCGTGTGAACGATAACTTTGTTTAGAAATGTTCGATCGCTTTTACATCTCCGTTAGTTATGAACTGAATTGCATGAAATTCAATATGGGCATAGCTTTAGCCATATAATACGCAATGCCAAAAGTTGATCGAATCGATTCAAAATTCACAGTGCCCTTTTCGCATCTCGACCATTTATAAACCGAATTGCAAACTTTTTTACTTATAAAAGTATTTGAATGAAATTTGATACATAGGAAAATCAAACGCCAATTTCAAAATTTGGTTTTGCGCATGCGCAGTGCCAACTTTTTTATTTATGGAAGAATTTAAACGAAATTTGATACATAGGCACTTGGGATAAAGGAAAATCAAACGCCAATTTCAAAATTTGGTTTTGCGCATGCGCAGTGCCAACTTTTTTATTTATGGAAGAATTTAAATGAAATTTGATACATAGGCACTTGGAATAAAGGAAAATCTAGCGCCAGTTTCAAAATTTTATTTTGCGCATGCGCAGTGCAAACTTTTTAATCTATGGAACCATTTCAGTGAAATTTGATACATAGGCGCTTGGAACAAAGGAAAATCTAACGTTAGTTTTAAAATTTAGGTTTGCGCATGCGCAGTTCCAACTTTCTTATTTAGAAAAGCATTGAAATGAAATTCTTCTCATAAACTGGAATTGAAGTAGCACGTCAACAATGGATTGCCCATGTGCAACGCTATCTTTCATATTTGTGGCCGGATTTTTACGATTTTAACAGAAGTTGCATCTTACAAATGGGAAATGAATGCAAGTGAAACTGCGCTTTATGTAAATCGTTTACGATTACTTTTTAACTTGTTGTACAGTGTGGGTAACATCCGCCTCTCACAAATCCTTCTTTAAAGTAAAGGCAAATAAGTACATAAAAATAAAATAAAAGAAGGGAGCTTTCCAGTTCAAAACATTGCTACAGTTTTGCTTCTCCGCAACTACTAAGTTGTCGACGCAAGAAAATTTTTTCTGACGTAGATCTGATCATTGTTGGCATAAACTGACACTAAAATGGTTCACTAAATGCAACCCGACGCTTGACACCAGTGTAACGTAAATTTGAATATTTATTCACAAATTTACAATAAATTTATACCAGTCTTGAAATGAATTGGTTTATAAAACTCACAATTTATAACAACGCGAACTATTTATTACTTCGGCGTTAAAATTGGAACTCAAACTGAAACTCAATGAGATTTGCTTATATAATAAACCAGAGTCCTCCCGAATCTTGTCGAACATTCTTGACCAAAATACATCACATTTCCGGGAAAGATTCCGTCACACCCGCCTTCGTTCTTTATCGCCGATGACTAACCTTTCATGGCGCCTCGGTGTCTATCGGAATTTATGGAATATTCGCATACAATATTGTGATGTACCCAGGCCAGCCCCGAGAGACTGCGCAACTCAAGATTTAAATTCAAAACTTTCCCTCCTAAACTAACTGAACCCCATGGTACGTGATCGTCTAGACAATGCTACCTAACCTGAATAACTACCACTTACTACGTTGTGTTTTTAAAAGTCGCTACAAGATATGTGTTGCCTGTCGAAGTGAGGATCAAGTAAGGAATACAAATAAAACAAGTACATGCTTTAAAAACGGAGATTTAATCCAAATAATTCCCATTGCATGATTAAATTTAGAAAATAGTAGTTAACCGAGTACAAATATAACAATAGGCTGGGAAAAAAGAACTGACCAAGAAAAAACCCAGCCAACAAATTAATATTGAACTTTATTGCAAAATTAGTTATCTGTAATGGCATGAATGCATATTATGATGGTTGTCAAGTAAATTAAGATAATGTTGAATCACAGGCTCCGCTGGAATTCCTAAAGAATCAACATATCAAGTGCAATATGTAACAATCAACAACCTAACGTACGTCACTCGCCCCCAGATGAAGCACGTTGTAAATAAACAGTAACATATTCAGGCAAACAAAGCGAAATGTGCTCCAATAAATTCAATTATAAATTAAAATGTAGTTCTGCATACTTGTATTGAATATCGCCCCTACGGGAACATATAGTATCTAAATATGAATAATACACGTAAATCGGTCAGTAATTCATGTAGCCAGCGCTTGGAACAAATGAGTACTGTAAATTAACAACATATTTATGTAGAATCTCTATGCATTTAATTCAAAATATGACCAGTATAATTACTAGTGCAAGTTGTATCTAGAATGTGTTATAAATGGCAATAATCATGCTGTACGAGAATAGAATTAAATTGGCAAATAATCGAACACGTACATATCATTATTAGATGGATGCAATAGACGTAGAGATAAAAAACCAGTACATCACCTTTGTCGAAGCTACACTCACTATTCGCAACGTAAAAATTACTTCTGCCCTCAACAAAAGCACAAATACCTCTGCCTAAATCTCCCCTTTTTAAACAAATCCTAGACGAAAATTGTTAATATCGACCCCGCATCGAGACGTCGGGTCGATAGGGATCATCAAGTTCCCTCGCATAGCGTTATATTTGACACTTTTATTGTAAATTATGGCCCATTTCAATGTAGAGCAGAGAAGAAAAAAATGTTCCAAAACCCACTCGTGGGTATTGCCGCGTAACACAAAGTATTGAAACGACGCATCGTCACCAAAAGCACACAAAATGTCGAATCTGCATATTGAAGCACATCCACGTCCAGAGAAAGAGAGGAGTTATAAGTTATAAAGTTTCAAAGAAATATTACCATACATAAGAAAGTTGGCTATGAGCAGCCTGTGCAGTCACTGCGTATGCCCACATAATTTTTACTATGTGCGAAATGTTTGCCTTTACTAGAAGCGCCTGTGGTTAAAATTTCAAAGAAATATCTCCATAAATAAGAAAGTTAGCATTGCGCAGTCACTGCGCATGCCCACATAATTTTTACTATGTGCGAAATGTTTACCTTTAGTACAATCGTCTGTGGTTAAAATTTCAAAGAAATATCTCCACAAATAAGAAATTTGGCATTGCGCAGTATGCCCACACATCACTGCGCATGCCCACACATTATTTTTACTATGTGGGAAATGTTTGCCTTTACTAGAAGCGTCTGTGGTTAAAATTTCAAAGCAATATCTCCATAAATAAGAAAGTTGACATTGCGCAGTCACTGCGTATGCCCACATAATTTTTACTATGTGCGAAATGTTTGCCTTTACTAGACGCGTCTGTGGTTAAAATTTCAAAGAAATATCCCCATAAATATGAAAGTTGGCATTGCGCAGTTTGCGCAAAATATGGAGTTAAATGAAACTGATCGAATTGGGCAAATATAGACCATAACAGCTATCAATTAGCGAAAACGCGAAGTCTCTAGGTGGCCCAGGGGCCGAGATCTCGATGGAACGGACGGACGGACGGACGGAAACACGAGCACATAAGCTTTACCTCAACTTCGTTTTGTTACGCTAAAAACCCGTGTTCCACGGAAACGAAACAAAGCGCAATCTTGACTTTTTTCGTCGCGCCAGGGTCGGTTTCGGGAATATTTAAATCGAATTTTAGCGGGCAAATTCGGTTCCATCACAATATTAACAACAACAATAACAGATATACGGAACTTTTTGTCAGGGCTTACAACTTGGTGGCAAGGACGAGGTTTTTGTTAGAGTTTGCATCCACATTGTGCTCAGTACCTATACATAATCATTTCATATTGCTGTTAAATTCACTAGCTTATTTGTGGCGAATCATAGGTATGTAAAAAAAATTGGGTAATAGAAGGAATCAAAGTATACGTTTTGATCAAAAAGTTTCGTATTCAATAAACTCCTAAAATGCGATGCGTTAAAAAATGCACTGCAATGTGATTGGGATTACTGTTGCAGAAGGAACGCGAGATATTGATTCCATGTTCTGTTGTCTGAAGATTGGCGTTTTGACATTCGTTCGTTGACAATGTCACAGTTGAATTTGAGAAATAAATACATGCAAAACGTGTAGTAAAAAATCCGAGACCTAACGATCTTCGAGATCGTTTTTGGGCTGTAACTTTTTGGCCCGCTAGTCTGCTAAGCGACCTTTCTCTTATATCCTTAAGAACATATGTACCAATTTTCAAAGCGATTGGACGTTTCTAAACACAGTTATCGTGTACACGAACAGACAGACATAAATACAAATTTATAAACGATCCCGAGCATCGTTAATAAAGTTTATTTTAAATAATTTTGTTGTGCCAGTATCTCCAGATTACTTCAACAATAACAGGTTATGGACCCAAGACACGAAAACTAAAGAAATAGTTACATCAAGAGAACAAAATAATTGCAAAATTTTCCACTGTGTAATAGGAAAGATTTAAAAGGAAACATCAGCTGATCGAATTAAAAAATTAAAACAAATAAAAGTTACAAGAGATAATAGTAAAACAATATGAAGATGAACAAATGAAAAGAAAGATTTCCGGACTTCCGTTTACTTAAAAGTTATATAGACAAGAAAATATAGAACATGAGATAAGTAACCAGTTTGTGATATGAGTGGGCATAGGTTAACAGGCATATTCATTTGAAATACTCCTATTCAACAATTTTGTCGTTAAACCACGTTGTGTAAACACGTGGGCTAGTTGGTATTTCAAAATATAAGTGAAAAGTAACTGAGAAAATATCTGTTCCATTACTTAAGTACCATCAAAGATAATATCTTTAGCACAGTGCAGCCAAGAAAATACTCGTCAAAGATTTTATAAACGATTCAACACTTGGAGTCCTGCTCTTGAAGGTATCGGTACCGTGATGTTATTTAGTTATTACTATAGTTAAACACGAATATGATTTCTATGTAGGTACTGTAATTGTCTTGGACGTTTAGCATCATCACTCAGCCTTTCTTTGAAGAGATGGAGAATCCAGAACTGTATATAAATCATATATTATCTCATCAGATGAAATATTATCGTCATTTATTGGACACGTACTTTCCACATATTCTCCATAGTACGAACCACGGCAAGTCAGTGCTAGACATAGGCTGCGGCCCTGGAAAAACGACTCACGACCTTATTCTTCCCTACCTGGAACAAGAAGTTAAAGAAGTTATTGGAATTGATATTTCCAAAACAATGCTCGACTACGCGAAGAAAACGTACGAAGACGATCGACTTAGCTTTGAGAAAGTTGATGTATTAGACGTTCCCGATAAATTTGTAGGTCGCTTCGACTACATATTTTCTTTTATGACATTCCATTGGATAGAGGATTATAGGTTTGTAACCTGAGATCAATATAGCCATTAACTACCTAATACTTCCGTAGAAAACTATATTCTAACATTTTAAAAATGTTGAAGCCGAACGGAGGCTTTCTTGCCACTTATGTATCTTCTAGTACATCGTCTCGTATCATTAAAGAACTTCGTAATAATGAAAAGTATGCACCTTATTGTACCAACTACCAACAGGTATTGAAACCGGGAATGCCAGAAAAGGAATTAACTAGCCTTTTAGAAGATATAGGATTTGAAAGTGTCTTCTGTCAAGTAAAGGCAATTCGTTTTGAAGGTTATAGTAGGGAGGACTTAGAAGGTGAACTTTTTACACTTGAATCATAAAAATTAATTAAAACATCCGCAGGTCGTTTCATTACAATAAATCCGTTTTACGATTTGGTTCCCAATCATTTACAAAAGGAATTCTTAGCAGACCACGTTGATCGAGTTGATTCGGTGATTGATGATAATGGCATAAGAAAGTATTACCTTAATGACAACTTGTTTGTAGTACATGGCCGGAAAATAAACTCAAAATAGACGCATTTTGCTTAAAACAATCTGCCATATCCCTAGTATCCTTCCTAACACTTTGAACGCAGCATCGTCTATTCATCTTAGGTGCCTCTATTCTCTAACGCATAACGATGTTGTTACATAGCGAATATCGTTCGGCAACGACTTTCTCTATTCTGTATGACATAATATACCATATGACAGTGATACGGCATATATCTGTCGTTCAAGATGAAATCGTTACCATTACGATATCGTTTTTTAACGAAAATATACAGAATAGACCCCTGATAGTCATCGCGACCACACGAACCCCAAAAATGTCACTGGCAAAATAATAAATTTGGTCGAGTTGAAAATACCAGCATTTGTTTTCTTTGCTCCATGGGTTTTGATAGAGTTCGCATCTAAACTATGCTGGTAACGTGATTTTTTCAGATTGCCGACGTTCTGTTGTCTGATGATTGTCGTTTTGAGATTCGTTGGTTAACATCACAGTCTAATTTGAGTTGATACATGTAAAACGTGTAGTAAAAAATCCTAACATTAGACGAGCACCCTTGGACGCCTATTCCTTAATTAGGAGAACGCTAATTTTAAGAGAAGTGATCGGTCATTTCTCTTAACTATTTCAAAAACGCATTCTTGAGAAGGCAGGAACGTTCCTATTCTACTAAAAGTTGATAGAAGTCGCATCTATTGACAAACCCAGTAGAAGCCAGTAAATCCTTGATAGGAGCATGCGCAATGGCAACTTGACGCTTGACAGTTTCTGACGTTTATACTTAAATGTTACCTTCACAAATTATTTGTGGTGCAGGTCTGTTTGTTAAGGTTAAGTACATTAGCAATGGACTAGTGCTCTAGTTGCCCAAAGTCAAATGCTCAAAGGGTAGAATTATACACCATGCAAATAAGGTAAACCGAATTTGTCTATTTGTATTTCAATACGGATCGTGTCCTAGAAATTTGACGAACATAATTTTGGAAGTTTAAACCTCTCTTCTTGAGATACATTTTCTGTAGTTGTGTACAACAGTTGACAGAATTTTTCCATTGTAATTCATGTTTGGGTATGAACTTATTTTCAAGACGATAAGAAAGTTCAATATTAAGAACCGGAAATCTTCTAGTTGAGTTATTTATATAAGTATGAAATTTAAGATTTTTCAATTTGTGTGTAAAACACACCAACTCTACGTAATTTTCTTTTGTTTATTTAAAGGGCATATTTACATAATTAAAATAGGACCTGGCCTAGTAACAATTTTGGGATACTGAAGGTTAAAGGAAATTTTCATTGGGTCCTAATGGAAGGATATTAATCGTTTTATGGTGGGTTTATGCAATCATTACTATCATTAGGTCATTAAAAATAGCCAATATAAACAAAGATATGTTTTTCGTTGATGCTCAATTCCATAAGTATAAGTTCTAGATGAAGGCATATAAGTTTTTACCAATGATTAAATTTTTAATCAAAGGTTTTACCCGTATTTGTTCATGTTACGTATGATTACTATATGTAATCTAAGGTCAGTGTGGATAAGATAAGCTGCATAGTTTACATGCGGTTGTTGTTACGATAATAACACAGTGGAAACCTACACAGTTACAGAAAGTACAAATTTCGTTTGATTTTGTAACAACTCAGATAAACAGTTTGAATCATATTGGTTCATAAACAACTAAATGTTCCATGAGTGACAGTGTCTTTGTTCAAGCGACAACATACAACCGCCATGGACGTTCCTCCACCTGAAGTGTTAAGCCTACCTATGGTAGTCCCATCAAAAACCCTCATGGGTCCCGGCCCATCAAACTGCCCTCCAAGCGTGTTACAAGCGTTAAGTTTACCGGTGCTAGGACATCTACATCCGGAATGTACCAAAGTAAGTGTTCGCCTCTATTTAGTTAGAAATACAGACTAACATACTTTTCGAATAGATCATGGACGATATTAAAGCGGGAATACAATACGTGTTTCAAACTAAAAACGAACTCACCTTGGCAGTAAGCGCTTCTGGGCATGCAGGAATGGAAGCCGTACTTTGCAATTTAATTGAACCCGGTGACAAAGTTCTTATTGCTGTTAATGGAATTTGGGGTGAAAGGGCAAATATAATGGCATCTAGATACGGTAGGATTTTATTTGTTTAATAATCGAACGGTGCACTTCAAAAAAGTAAAACTTGATGGAAATGGTGTGTTGCCTATTATCTAGGGGCCGTATTTTCTCCTTTTGATTATATTCAACCGTTGATTCAACGAAAATTTCTAAAATAGAGCGTTAATATCTCCACGTTTACATAAAAATACACAGCTCTAGGGTAGGGTTTTGGGTGCCAATGCCTTACAGTTTTTATGAACCGCATCTTAGAAACCTTATACATTATGACTATCGTAGGGTTTTAGAATTTTACTAGGTAGGGTTAATTTATTTTATGTCTTACTAACCTATCATAGCACATTTTATATCTGTGATACGCGGGCATAAAGTACCACTTTATGCCCTAGGGCATTAAGTATCACCATAGTACCTAACTCATTTATACTTAATGACAAAACAAATAAATATTTGCAGGTCATTGAGAATTAGAAACGTCAATTATTAATTGTCAATACCTACTAAATCACAAGGTTGGCCTTATTTCGTATAGTTTCTGGAGCTTCTTGCTCATTCACGATGAATTGAATTATTTAAAATTACGTTTGACGTTTGGATGGTTTCAATCACATTAACAAATTCGAACCACGCATACTCGATCAAACATAATGAATTATTTTGTAAACGAATATTTACTTTGACGAAGAAAACTATTTGTAAAACATAAAATTTTGTATGTACCACGGGCATAAGCTGATGTTTATACTCTCGGGCGACTAAAAAGCTCTCGGATATATATATAAATAATATAAATAATATAAATAAATATATATATATATATAGGCCCTCGAGCTTTTTAACTTGTCGCCCTCGAGAATATAAACATCACTATTATGCCCTTAATACATATAAATAACTATTGTAAACCTTGCACAATGTTTTACAAGACCTTGCAAATTCAAATTTATAAATCCAACACACTAACAAATGGATAAACTATTAATACAAAACAATTACCCTAACATCCTATGTTAATTCTCATCCTATGTTAATTCTAAAAGAAAATAATGGATGCATTTACCTATATTTGCGAATGAAATACATACACACTGCATGCCACAATTATTCTGCTGCGGTCCACAAAAAAAAACATCTCGCAGGACGCGCATTCAATCTTGTCCTTTGAATTTGAATTGTTATCTTCGCGCCAAATAAATACGCAGTGGCGTAGCTCGCGTTTTCTCTTTTAATGAAATACTTAAAAGCAGAAACAATAAAATTCAAAAACTGCCACATTAGTTACATCACAACCCGTAACTAAACTTACACAGTACATATTTTTTGGTTGTGGATTTGACGAATTAATCCAACATCTCTAGGTGCAACCGTTCACCGTTTGGAAGCAGCACTAGGCACCAACTTCACATTAACGGAATTCGAAGATGCAATTCGCCTGCACAAACCTGCTTTGCTATTCGTAGTACAAGGCGAAAGTTCCACCGGAGTCTACCAGCCCCTTGAAGGTCTAGGATTAATTTGCCACAAGTAATTTGCATCACTAACGTTTTTTTAGATATTCTCATGCAAGTTGTAGGTACAACTGCCTATTAGTGGTAGACACTGTTGCATCTTTAGGTGGCGTCCCTTTCTATGCGGATCGATGGGAGGTAGATGCTGTCTACACTGGATCTCAAAAAGTTCTAGGCGCTCCTCCTGGAATTACTCCGATCTCTTTTAGTTCTCGGGCACAGTGAGTAATTATAATTAAAATAGTGAGATCAACTTATGTTTCGCTGTATAGGGAAAAGATCTTGGCTCGCAAGACTCCTCCCAAGGTATATTACTGGGACATGACGATATTGGGAGACTACTGGTCGTGTTTTGGTAGACCAAGAGTGTAGGTTGAATTAGACTGGATTTTAAATGCAATTACGCCTTATATTGCAGATACCATCATACAATCTCATCAACACTGCTTTACGGTCTAAGGGAAGGTTTGTCGTTAGTGGGTAAAGAAGGAATAGAAAATGTGATAAATCGTCACAAAATGTGTGCGCAACGACTACACAAGGGATTGCAAGCGATGGGTTTACAAATGTTGGTAGCTAAGGAAAGCGCTCGTTTGCCCACTGTTACGGCAGTGAAAGTACCCGAAAATATTGACTGGACCGTAGTGACTGGATACGCAATGAAACAGTACGTCTCTTCACTGCTTTGGTGTTGTGTAGTAATGATTTGCCTTGCAGCTACTTCTTGGAAATAAGCGGAGGATTGGGACCTACCGCAAACAAAATCTTTCGAATAGGAATTATGGGATACAACGCAACCAATGACAATGTAGACTTCGTTTTGAAAGTTCTTGAAGAAGGAATCAATTATGCCAGGGAAAATAGAAGCGCGAAATTGTAATCTGTTTCTCAACTTGTTTTATCATTAAAGTATCTATCGGTAAAAACGTATTTATTTTTCTTAATATTTACCTGTTGAGATCAATTTTATAGGGCACCTTCTCCTCTAACCGCCCCCCAGATAACATTGAATATTTCTCTAATATACCAGGAATATTCAAAAAGGTATATTTATTCTGATTTGCTTTTTCTTCTTCCCTCCACCTACCGTCTCCTTATCGACCCTCCAATAGCTCCCACAACATTCCATTTGCCCTCAACACGTGGCCCACTCAGGTTCTCTTATTCTTTCTAATATTGCTTAACAGTTATCTCTCTTATATTGCTCATCTTCCTCATTGTTAAACTTATCGCTTCATTTTACTTTTAACAACCTCTTCAAAGTTCACATCTCGAACTTCCTGTTTTACTAATTATCTTTTATTTAGGCCCACACCTCAACTCACGTCCATATATAAAATAAATCCATCTTACTGTTAAGCACCACTCTCTTTCTCATGTGCGCTGTATCGATTCCAATTCTTATCATTATCTCCATTTCACTCAACCAATCGTCTGATATTACTGTGCCTAAGTATTTACGTCTAAGCCCTGGATTTGTTCCAATTTCTCTCCTCTTACCCTTACATCCATTAGATACCTACTCTGTTCCAACTTTCATTACCTTCGACTCAATCCTTATATGAATTCCATTTCTGCCAGTCGTTTCAACATTTTATTCAATTCTCGCGTGTTTCCAGGAATAATGTGATTATATGACATCATCCGCAAACCCTGACTGACCTTACATTTCTGCCATCTATTTTTACTCCCTTATTCCTTTCCCAGCACTTCCCATATCTTCCATATAGATACCAAATAAAGTTGGAAACAACATCCCTGCCTAACCCCTCTTCCTGTTCTAAACAATTCAGTCATGTTAAGTTGCTACATCCTTAAAATGTGTAACAGTTCTTCGTATTTTTTGTAATTAACAGTAGCTAATTAAACGAGTTGCAGTAAATCGCATCTGAACCAGTCATGAATGGTTTTATTACAATTGCGTTTAATTGATCTAACTATTAAGACCAATTCCCGATTTTTATGTTTATCACTTTTTGGGAATTGTTCGCCGTACTCGCGTACGCTTTGTACTTTTATCGGTCACTGTACCGATAATAGCTATTTATATATGAAGTACATAAACTGGGTCTTTATGAACGAGCCGTTTATTTAGCCGAGCGAGCTTGCGAGCGAGGCACAAATAAACAAGCCCCATAAAGCCTATGTATGGACGCGATAAATACAAAGCTTTATGTACGACTGCAACAACCCTTAAAAATGAAAATTTCATCGAATGCAATAAACGATAAAATCTATATATCATTGACAACAGATGTCAAGCATTTGTCAAGTATTTCTAAAATACTTGAATTTACCTTGGATTGACACAAGTACGACTGTCACATTGACAGGCGGCCGGTTTACTTTATCATTATGGACTAGGCCACTAATTGCGACTGTAATCACCACATTATCAAGCAGTCGTACATAAATTTATAAAGGTAAGCGTTTGATACTTTCCAGTCCGTTAATTATAAGGGGGGTCTTTGCCTTTCCTGTATTTGATTTCCCGTAGCTACCTGCGCTAATTAATATATGCCTTGTTGCTTGTGTTCCCGTTAAGGCAATCGCTACCGTGTGCTCGTAATTCTGTTTTAGTTGTTTCCCTGGACGTAATCGCCCGCCAAATTCTGGAGTAAGTTCAACTGATTGCCTGTGGCTACTGATTATTACAAACCTCCGCGGCCGGTGGGTCTAGCTTATTTTGCATGTTCGGTTTTAAAGAGCGTATCTGCAGGTAGTAACCATTTTATGCTTTCTTGTACTAACCATGAATCTTTTATGTCATAGTTTGTTGTTATTTACATTTTGCATAAAATAATAAAATTTGTTATTCAAGCAAGATGTACTTCATGTTTTTTGAGTACCGTTATCTGATTCATGTTTGTTTGTTATACTGTACATGTGATTATCCCTTTATATTGTTTATTAAGTATTTGTATTCATGTATTCATGAGGAAGTTTGTATCAGTATTCACTATTCGGTGAAGGAAGTATTCAAAGGATGCAGAATTCCTGTACCCGTTTGGTGTATGGAGTGAGAAAGTTTGATCACATTTCACATAAATTTCAGGAATCTGGGTGGTTAAACATGGCAAATAGAAGGCACTTGCATAGGGGTACATTTGTACACAAATTCTTAACAACAATACTACCTACATGTAAGTTGAAGTCCAAATTCAATTTAAGACACAGTACTCACTCGCACAATACTAGGCATAATGCACAATTTACAATTCCACAGCACCGGACCGCTTTGTATAAAAGATCATTTATTTATAATGCCGTGAAATTAGTTAATTTATTTATTGATGAGTTTAAGATATTTAATATCAATAAGTGCAAATTTAAACTTAAACAATACTTTTTGAATTTGCAGCGTGTGAATCACTACCTAGCCACACTTGAGATCTAACTTTCATTCCTTACTTATCTTTCAGCTAGTTGTTTGGTCGTTGAGATATTGATATATTTTTGTTTCTCATTTTTGCTTAGTTATGCCATTAAGTCATTTAATTTCAGTTTAATTTCTGTTTAGAGGACGAGTATCGTAGGTTAAGTAGAGTAGCCTGACTTGGCTATGTTTCTTTTCCTTCAAGTGTCTAAACAAATAAAGACCTTATTATTATTAAGTATTTAATACAGTCCAACTCTTCACAGTATCCTTTCTGAGTCGTGGCCCGCTGCTGGACGGTGCGTAAGCTATCAGAAGGAGGGTCCTCTAATTTGATGTTTCTTTGTATGAGTGTTTTAAGTAGTGTGGCTGTGGAGTAAGTGCCCCATACATTCTTTTCTGTATCTCTTGCCTGCGCGTCACGTGCGGATCGCAGCTCTTATGTCTTAGCAATATACGAGAAGGGGGGTCCTCTAATTAACATTAACACGAGGCGGGAGTAGAGCCACGTCATTTTGATGTTTTTTTATGTACGTGCAATTTACCAATTTATGTACGATTTATTTTGCCTAAATTGATCGTATATTTGTGTAAAGTGTTTTTGTACTGAATCGATTGATCATGTTTTCCTTTGTATTTATGATGCCTCTTGTGTGTTGTTCTTGTTGATTTACGGGCGCATGGATTCGATTACCTGATTTTATCGTACAATTATTTGAGATATTTTGGCTTGCATTTTGTTGCCATAGGGCGTACATGATTCATTTTATGTATTTGTGTGGGCTGTGTCGGGATTTTTGTCCTGAAGAAGGTTTTTCCCCTGGTTTCACCTTGTGTGCGTAATATATTTATTGTTCTTGTCTTTTCTTATGCACAAAATTCTGCTTTTATTCTATTCCCTTTCAGATTATGTCTCACGTCCCATGAAAATAAATAAACTGATTACACAACGCAGGAGTCCATTCGTGCCATCCATATGTGTCGACTGCTACAGAGATTCACAGGGGGCCGCGAAACGCCCATTTCGACTTGAAAGTTAAATGACTTTGCTGGTAATTTTTCCCCAGAGTTGCCAACTGTAAGTATGGGATAAATTAAGATTGAAATGCCGGCTTGGGGAACCCCTAAGAACATTACAAATCTTAGGGTCTGATATGTTATTAGGATCTCAGAGTGTTCTAGTCTACGAGGTCTAGGGTCTTAGAATCAAAGACGTTTAGGGTAGGCAATTAAGATTTTTTTCACTTCTTCAGGTTTCTGGCCAAAGATTCATATGCCATTAAACCATAGGGTTTTAAGATAATCTAGAATTTTAGGTCCCAATTTCTTGATTTATTTATCATTGGGAAGATATTTAACAAAAGTGGAATGCCAAATGCTAGCAATGAATGTCAAAAATGAAACTAAAGAAAGTGTTGGAAGCATATATTTTTCTAGCTAGCAGGTACACTTATAATTCATCTTATGAGTTATTTCTGCATCGACACCAACATTCAAATCTTCGCTTCTTTTACACCCTAACAATTTGTATTCTAGAAAACTTGCTATCACTATTGTAGGGTGCAAAACTGACCTCTACTTTTAAAATGCAAGCAGTGAGTGTGCTATATTTATGTTTGTTAAATTTAAATTAACATTACGATTTCAGTTATATATACACAAAAATTAGTTTCAGTGTATAAAGTATGTATTATAGATGCAATTACAACATATTATTTACACGTTCTTATATAAAGTAAAAATCACATTCACGCTGCGCACACATCCTAAAACTACCTTAATTAAAGGAAATACTGTAGAATTGCATGGAGAGATTCCAAATTACGTATTAAAAGAAATGCCACGCTCTTTCGGCATCACAATTTAAGTACCTAGCGTCGTTTTTTCGTGGATGGCACCATTTGATATGTTAACAATAATGGCTACAATACTTTATGCCCTTTTTTCGTATTGCTACGGGTCAGCCTTTCGCTCCGGTGAGTATTGTGTTCTGTCTCTGCTCCGTGGAATAACACACTCATAAAATTGACAATTTCTAACTCTACCTTACGCAGTCATCGTCGCTACAATTATAACTTAATGAAAAAATAAATTAACTTAAATTAAGGTCTCTTTCGGTTCGGTATTAGTATGCCAAATTCTTTTTCTCAATTAAATGTACATTAAATCTGTATCTTACAATAATTTACACTAGAAATAAATATGACAGCTCAAGCTTTCTTCTCCAACTGCCTCAGTCTTCTTTGGTACAAGGGTAACTCAGACTTGCGGTCCGTCAAAGTTGCATCTCTCGATAACATTGTATCATCACTTGGTGCATATTGTTTATACAATGTATTCCCGAATAATTTACACATACGTCACTCAACTATTTCGCGCCCTATGATGCCGTCGAAAGTGTTTGCATTGCTGCTGTGAACAACAGAACTCGTTTGTCGTACTTTGCATACCATTATGCCTCGGTTTGAACATTTTATGACAAATTGCTCTCGTGCATCGTTGGCGCTCACACGATTGGCTACCATTCTGCAAAGAAACAACAGTGTAAATGTGGTTTGTAAATCAAGGTACATTTCAATTACATATTTAACTAAATAGGTTTTTTCCAAAATTTTGTGTTCCCTGCTAAATTTAATACACTTTACAGTGTGTCCAACCACAAGACGATTTTATTGTTATAATATGGGAAGCATGTGAATAGTAATAATCTCAGCAATAATAATTATTTATTAGATAAGACGATACCCTTTATCGTCGTGTATAATAAATTAAAGCAGAAATCATATAAATCATTATAAAGCTCTTCTGACAATTCCGAATTTAATTTAAACGTCAAAAATAGCAAGCTTAGGTTCTGCCGTCGCGGCCGTTTCCACAGAAACAGCATTGAAATATGTTCTGAACGCTATTTTATATCGTGCACCACGTCCCATTTGAAATGAGAATGACAGATTCATAATGTCCAAAAGGCGGAGGCGTCATATCGTTGGCGTCTGCAGAAAAGTCACATACTATTGGATGCCACTCTTCCTCACCCTTGCAATTTAGTATTTTGTACAGAAGATGACGGCCAAAACTGCAAGAGATTAAAATAATTGACGGAGAAATTTATTTGGCCGTTTTCCCAAAAAAATTACCACGGTAATTAGTAAGTATTGGAGCTATAAATGTCCAAATAAATCATCAGTAACTAGAAAACTGTATTCTGTACTGTAGAATGAGGATTGAACAATTGAAAATAGTACATGGTTTTGAAATATGCTAAAAAAAGGACTGACTTACCTTGCATTTACAGGTAACGCATTTGTATTCGCCAAGTGACGCAATCCAAGGGTGATACTTTTGCCCATTTTCGTACGGTTTATTCGGATTACTGGGATTCTTGCAACCGCCCTCCGAAAGTACCTGTTGCGGCGTCTTGTACGACACAATACTTTGCGCATCCTTCGAGACCACCACGTGTGTAGTACTAAGATCACTGACGTATGTCCCATTTTCGGAGTCTATCATCGCCTTAGATGTATCGACACAATGCTTACAGCACTTCTTCTCGTTACTTTGTCTCGTGCATTTCACCTCCAATAGTGTCGAATCACAGTGGCATTCGGTGCAAAGATCGAAACCGTTCGGTATTAAAAACGGATGAAACCTGCTACCCGCCGTGTAAAACATTCCACCGAACGTACATCCACGAGGAGCACTGGTGTTACTTTCTTGAGACGTAGTGGAATTAGAACAAATAGGACAACACTCGCCGGGCACTTTTATTTTAAAGCTTGTAGGGCAGACTATTTCTGGACAGGCCGAGGTATCACATTTAGCGTTGCCATTTTGACAGTAACACATGGTGCACGGGTCGCTTGTGGTCCACTGATCCCCTTCTTGGTAGAATTTTCTTTCGTGAAAACATGCGCCGTTCTCCGCCACGTCCGAGTCCAGAGATAGAGTTGGAACATTGTTATCGGTAATATGCGACAGGCAAGTTGCGGGTACTTGCAGCTGTAAAAAATGGTTAAGCGGATTAAAATAACAATTTGAAAATGTGTTTACCTCTCGCAGTGTGGCCGATAGCAAAGTAGTTTTGGTGGTTTTCTCTTTGATATTGATGAAAACAACTCCAGCATCTAGGCGCACTAATTCTTCTTTGGGTAGGGTTTCGGTCGGGCTTCCTTCTACTTGATTTCCATTAAATTCGTCCAAAATGTGGGTGATGACAGGCGCACCTGGCGCAATCATTGGAAGTAAATCAAGAGACAGTTGATATTTTTTATCAGTCAACCCCATGCCGGACAACGTAATGTCGTAATGCATGTGGCAGTAATTATCGACTGTAATCCACGATATTCCAACGGCGGACGGTGGTAAC